GTGCGAGTGTGAGTGAGTCTGTGTGATTGTGAGCGAGTCTGTGTGATTGTGAGCGTGTGCGAGTGTGAGTGAGTCTGTGTGATTGTGAGCGTGTGGGCAGCAGGCAGTAGCCTCACCATCAGTGCTTGTCCAGACAGACAGAGGAGGAGCAGCACGGGGAGATGGAGATCCATGTCCCTTCAGTTTGCCTGGAAGACAGTAATCCGTCAGTCCCTGCTGCCCGGGGACAGGGTCAGCCCGGCTTGTTTCCTCTTACTAATCACCATCTCCATTCCAGCAGCCAGGAGATTAGTGCCCTCAAAGCTCAGGTGAAATGAAGCTGGGAAACAAGGGGCCCTTGTACAGTGACAATCTTTCTGCAAAGACCTTAGCCACCTGGGCCAATATTGACAAAGCAAAACTTTTGCTTACAGACGACTGCAGATGATTGAACTAAAGCCTGGTGCTCAGATCCTCCTGTGATTATAATTCAAATCCTTTTAGACAACAGATGCTTATACATGCTATAGTGCTTTTCCACAAATCGGTCAACCTAACAATCTGAGGAATGAGCCCAGAGCATTGCTCTTTGACACTCTGGCCCGACTGAAGCTGAGCTGCTATGATGGATTACCTAAGCTCACCAGTGCGAGCCCAGTGAACCTGCACTGGGAAGAAAGGCTAGCCTGCATTTAGTGCAATCATATATACATATACAGTATAAGCGCATATCAAGCGCTTTCAGAAGGCACCTTTAAAGGCGCTATGTAAAATAAAGTTTATTATTATATTAAAAGTATCATTTCACACATTCTAGAAAATAAAGCGTAACATATTCATTGCAGGACAATATTCCCCTTCTTGTAAATAAAGAGAATTGAGCTTCACGTCACGCTGATGTATACCCAAGGCTTTGATCACCACAGCGTCCTCTCACCACGCCAGGGAAGACTATTTGTCGCCCCATGTCTGTCAAGAACCTGTCCCAGAGCAGGAGCCACACTCATCCTTCAGCTGGACACACAGGGTGAAAGAAACCGTCACCACTCGAATGTGGGGGCGTCTGGGGGTTCCCTTGAGGACAGGGTTGAGGGGAGCCCAGAGGGAGATCGTCACACCAAAGCCTGACCCCAGTCCCGGAGAGCCCCAATCCAATATGTCTGATACTATAGGTCACCCTACGTCATGCATGTCTAAGGATTAGAATTACTTATACATCAGTAATTCATTAAGCAGCCCCTTTGTTCGTGGAAGGGATCAAGTGTTTTGTCCACACGGTAAGTCAGTTCGTTTAAGTAAATCCCCTGTCCTCAATCATTGGCATGTTTTCCAAGCCTGTATTAACTGGTCATTGACGGTATCCTGGATCACCTGGACTGGACTCCCAGCTCAGGTCATATTGAGCCCTGCAGATCACAGCTGACTCATCCTCTGTTGCAACCAGAGGATGCAACCACATGTGCAACCAGAGGATGCAACCACATGTGCTGTGGAGCAGGGCAGGAGACAGGGACTGGGGGGAGAATTTGCACCTGAAAGGCAGACGCTTCATGCAGAGTCACTGATGTGAACAGCACGCTCAGCTCACCCAGAGCCTCACCCAGGTCAGCCAGGTCCACAGCTCCTCTGGTCCCCATGAAGGCAGGGGAAGCCAAGACACCCCCCCCCCACACACACACACCTCTGTGCAAAACAGGAACAAAGTGCAGCACTACACAAATTCTCCAGAGAAGTAAAAGGACAGAACCCATGCTAAAACGTCTGTGACATCTATTGCACCTTCAGTGTGTTAGAGACACTTCCTTATGGAAAGAGTGGCAGGAGTGTGGAACAAGCTACCTGGGCTTCTTCCAAGAAATGGCTGGATAAAATCCTCAGATCAACTACTGACCACCATACAAGCTGGAGGACCTCATCCCATTTTGAACTGTTCTCATACTCTGCTGTTTCCTCCTTATTGAGCATAAAGGGGATTATTGAGCAAGCTGGGGTGATACCTGTTGTATCAGGTAGGGCAAATACAGCCTTAGTGGTAAAAAAAACACATCATAATGCAGCACCTAAGATGAAGCCAATGCACCAGACGATAAGCAAAAACTGGATCAAAATCATCGTCTTTAGTTGTTTTGGAAGGGGGCTTGGTGGTCCAGCTGGGGTTCGAACCAGGAGCCCGCGGGTGCAAGTCCCTGGCCTTTACCGCCCAACTCTGCACCCTCCAGCCGCCCACGCGGTGCACAGGGCTCCGAACGCGGTGTTTGTTTTGCCGTGGGGAGGGGCGCTGCCCACAAAACTCCTCCACCGCAAACACGGAGCCCCGGCCCCTCGGCCCACAGGAGAAAACAAGACCAAGCTGGAAGGGACAGAATCACAGCGAGCCTGGCAGAACGGAGCCCTGTTCAGCTCTAAAACCACAGGAAAGCAACTTAGTGCAGGAATTAGCCCAAAAAACCCACAAGCCCAGGATCGTTATCATCTTACCTTTGGATTTCTTCTGTTCTCAATGCCGCTGTGTATTCTCTCTCTCGCTCGCAGTCCCACCTTTATGCCCAGTCCCTGCTGACGACAGAATTCCTGAGTGGTCAGCTTGTCCAGATCCACCAGTGTGAAAGAGCCAAACAGTCCACTCCCGAAATTCCTCGCCCTGCCTCCGCCCAGCTCAGGTCAAGACGTATTGAACCCTGAAGATCACAGCTGACCGATTCATGATAATGTTCTGTGTCACCCCTCAATACTCCCCAGGGTACTTCCAATAGCTGTCACACGGAGTGCTGGTAGCCCAAGACAAGGGCCTTGTCTACCCTTACTCGCTCCCCAGCGACGCACAGCTAAACCGAACAATGCCTGCCCCTGCAGTGATGGTGTGGAGACTGTGCGAGTTGAGCCCCACCCTCTTGGGTGAAATATATGGGAGAGCAGTGCTGCTGATTCAGAGCTCCGGGGAGAAAGTTAGAGACAGTGGGGGCATAACTGCTGAGCTGCAGATCGCACTGCTTTGATAAATAGGGTGTACAGCGATAGACGGCACCTCACAGTTCTGCAAATTCCAAAGCACATAACACAAAGAACCAACGCCGGCACCTATTTACAGGAGCGTGTTGACATTTTCGACCTGCTTTTAATTTCAAGGTGCGTTCTTTGTATGGTGCTCAGTACAGACTGTACCGCACCGCACACTGATGCAAAGGAACATTTTTTTTTATTTTAAGGAGTTGCTGGGGCACTCTGACCTGTGCCCGATCGATTCGATCCGTGCTGCATCGTCACACCTTGGTATCGTACCCATGTCAGCTCTCCCCTCCTGTGTTCACTGAATTTTCAGAAAGCTGCGCGTTAGCTGTTTCCCAGGACAGCTCCTGGATTGAGTGCCGTTTCTTTTACAATTTAGGTAGGCACAGCTGGAATCGGGCTGCCTTGAACATAATTTTCTGTTAAATGCAACAGAAACCGAGTCCAGACCAAAGGCTGATACCTGCACGTACTTGTCGTACGGGTAGGGTAACGTTTGTTAGTTCTAGTCTTGCAACATCAGCAGCTTCCAGCAGACAATGTTGAGACAAGGAGGTTAAGGATCAATACTTGGCCTTAGTTATTCTGCTAATTTTACACAGGCGCGAAACCACATTCCGAGATGTGGGCCAGAAAGGCTTGAGAAAAAGTCTCAATTCGAACACACCGCTGGAAAGCGGTTATCCTAATAATGCAATTACAAACTCTGGAACAAGAGTAAAGAACCGGGTCTGACACACGTAAACCTTTTGCTTCTGTCTACTCTATTTCTCAAGCTACACACACACACGAACTCCTTCTAGGGTTACAATGCCACAAAACCACCAGTCTCGAGGAAAGAAGTCAGACAGAGAGCTGAGGTTACCTTGCTTTGCTGTGGAGAGGTCCGCCTTCCCAGTCGAAAACTGACCGAAAGAAAAGGACCAGATTCACTTTCTCCGCAGTGGCAGTCTCTCCGCCTTTGTTAATATGCAACTCCCATTGATCCGGGCCTGTAAGTCATTGGTTTTGGGCAATGGTAAATATTGAGACAGAGGATTCCGCATAAAACATTAACTTGGATCCTGAGCAATGTGAGATAGAATAGTGGAACAGCTCCGGTTGCTAAGAAGGCTTTTTATACCAACATTAATTAAAGTGTTCGTCTCAGTGATGCTTTTATCCAAACTGTCTTAGATGGGTCCCCGTTTGTATAGCTGGATGTTACTCTAGCAGGCTGAGTGAAGCACTTAGCTCCAGGGACCTACCTGGGATTTAAAACCCAGTTTTCCAGTTATGTGGCCAGACTACTGACCATTCCGCCATCAGTCAGCAACTGGTCACTTACAATCTGAAGCCCACTGAGCCCTGATTCCACACAAAAGAATGAGACCCTTCCCCAAAGTCAACCCCTCTCGGCGATGGGTGTTCAAAACAGAGGCAAACCAAACCAGTTGCTTAAAACGTGTGTACACTTCGGTTTTAAGAGTTCGCCAGCTCACAGTCCGTGCTAGATCTCCTCGGACGTCAGGGACTCCGGGAGAAGGCTGGGACGACCCTGGCATGCTAACAGCACTCCTCCCCGGCACAGGAAGTGGGCCTGCGTGGGACCCCTCAGCGCCCAACCCACGGCACTCTCCCTGGAAGCACCACACGGACACCGGGGCCTTGCGTATGCAATATTTTATTAAACAGGTTAATAAATAAAATAGGCATTTTCATTTTGTTCCTTTAAAATGTACCAATGGAATACACACATATATATATACTGTATATAAGTTGGAAATTGTTCGTTTTGTTCCTCTGGCGCACATTTCCGTCTTGCAGGAGAAACAGGGTTTTGGGGGGGGGGGGGGGAGTGTAGTGGGGATTCTGAAAGTCTCAAGAGCTGAGGAAGAGAAAAATGCCACAGCTTGGCCTCTGGGGTCAGACACGATGGCCATCCCTACCTCATAAACTACCTGAAGTTAGCCAACGGGTACGACCTTTAACCTCTCGCCGCTTGGAAGCTCCATTCTAGAACTGAAGGACGCAGGTTCCACTCCACTTCACTTCACGCGCACACAGCTCTGTGCCGATTCAGTTTCACACCTGATTGGGAGTGGTTCAGTCAACAGGCTCTCTCTACTGTGGCTTAAGAGAGGGCACATTGGAAAAGAAGCACTGAAGTAAGCAGAATCCAACAACACAGTCCAATGTCAGGTCGTCTTGTTTTTTCAGACCCGTCTCCACTATAATACCTTGAAAGCCGAGAACGCTCGCTTGCACAACATACAGAATACGAGATCAAGCCGATCTGTCCATAACCAGGCTCTCTCGAGTCTTCAAGGTCCAGCTTTGTTCAGTGCTTTTTATTCACGTCAATAAGATTCATTATGGCTCTTTCCTATTTATCAATGGTACTTTATTTTCTACTGTTCTGTATTCATAAGGCATTAAGTTTCTAGGTTTAAAAAAAATACAACTTATTGACAAAAAATTCTGTGATCAGATCCAGTTTCGTTATTGTTTTACTCATTTTGTCTTGCAATGAGTCACTTAGCATAAAAAGAGAGTAGCCAGCTATGAAAGAAAAGACACCTGCGTTAAAGCTACATTATAAGTGTGTGTAATCAAATCTGGTCCTTTACTGGTCTCTGGATGCTCAGACACTGCACAGAGAGAGACCCAGTACCCACTGCGTGCAATGACTAATAACTTACTTGTGGGGGTTTCTTATGAAACCCACATAGAAAAAAAAAAAAAGCACAGATCTGCTCCTGCTCCAAGATGAACTTGAATAATTGCCAAATTCCTCAAATCCTAGAACCAAATGTGTCTGTGCTCACGTTTTTAACACAGGCCGTTTCAGGGCCACTACCTGCACAGACAAAGTGAGTTTCCATCTGCCACTCAAGCCGAGCTCTCCAGCCCTGTTCTCTTAGGGCAGGTCCAGATTAACACCATCTCTGGCACCGCTGGGATTTTTATCTCTAGTTTCACACTGTTAAAATTATTTTATTACCCGTGTTTGCCATTTAGTAGAACTCTTGCTAAAAATAAAACAAGCACTCAATATCCAAGGCCGGCTGCTTCCTCCTGTAGCCCAAGAAGAGCAGAGCGACCTTCGTCATCTTCGGATAACCAGGCCTCCCGCCTGAGAGAAACAGGCCTCTCCAGATTAAACGCAAAGATCCGGAGCTAGCAGTCCTACTGCATAGTAGTTTCATCGAGTTAATGGCTCTGCAGGCCATAGCGTCCTGCGCAAAGGGTACCTCTGGAGCAGAGTCTTCAAGTCCACTGGCTCTGCCCATCTGTCAGGGACAGCGGGTCAAAATTATTAGTGGTCATGGACCAGCCTGGGCCCCCAGAGTATCTTAAACGGGTACATTAGGGAGCTGTTGTTTTTCCAACTGTTCTACGCACAATCAATCCATGACTTGCAGGCTTATTAGGAATGTTTCCTCCGCTCCAGGTACAGATCGCAGAGGGATACACCTACGCACGGCCTTGGCAGGGACAGACTGTGTACTGTGCAGAGTCTGAACAGCCTGTGACCACACCATCAGCATCCATCATTCAGGACTGACGCCGTGCTCAATATGACTTCAGCAGACTTGAGTAAGAACCCTGGTTAAGAAATCAGTGTTAGGGCTGTTTATTTTGCTGCCTTTTTTTACAACTAAAACTGTTCTGGTAGGAGGAACTACAGTAAAGGTTTTGCACAGCGCTTCACACGGGGTGTAATACTGTACGTAAATACTGCATTAATAATGATCTGAAGTTTCTGCGACGGTACGGCCTTGAAAAGCACAGGGCAATGTGCAGGCCTGCGCCCGAGCACGGCTGGGAAACGGGTCAGGTTCTGTCCCATTCAGCACGCGGGGGAAAGAACGCTGAGCCGGGCCCGGTTTCCCCCGCGTGCTAGCACAGTTCAGTCCCAGCCAGCAGGCCGCTGCTGTGAGAAGGGGCTTCTAAAGGAAGATCTGGCAGTACTAACTCCCCCACCCCTGGAATTAAGGTTCCCTATTCAGCAGCAAGAGAAATAATCTGAAATCAATTTCTTCCGAAATGAAGCGGGAGGCTCATCGGGAGGGGGATCCCAGGGAATCTCGATGAGTGTCGCCTCCCGCCTGTCCACCCGCTGCCCAGACTCATCCGTGTCCGAGCCTCCAGAGCTCCAGGCATTTCAGGGGTCAAGGAAGTGCCGCGAGGGTGGTCCGCCTGTAGGACCGCCGAAGGATCACCGAGGCAGGACGGCCGGCACCCAGGACGACCCCAGCCGCAGGATGGGGAGCCAGGGTCCCCCCCGACAGCGCGCTCTCAGGCCAGGAGCCGGATGGCCCCGTTCTCCGAGCCCAGCAGCAGGAGGCGCTTGGTGGGCAGCACGGCCAGGCTGGTGAGGGTCCCCCGGAAGTTCTCGGAGCTGAGCTTGGTGGTGCTGGCGGGGCTGGCCGACACGTCCAGCATGGAGTAGACGCTGATCTTGTTGGCCACGGTGCCGGCCACGATCTCGGGGCCGTACAGGTCGAAGGTGTGGATGGGGTCCGAGGTCGCGCGGTATGTGTGCAGCGGCTTCTGCTCCAGCTCCTTCCACACGCTCAGGGTGTGGTCCGTCGACGAGCTGACCAGCAGGCTGCCATCGGCGGCCTAGACGGACACACGCACAACAGAACAGAACTCCTTCACCCCCGTGCAAGAGCTTAGACAACAGAGGCTCGAGCTCCACAGGCTGATGGGTCTTTTTAATGCAGGTTCCAGGCTACTACAAAAAAACCCTCGAGCATCAGTCTCCAAAGGTCCAAAGTCTTCACCTAAATGATCAGGTTAAAACCAGTAAACTGGCTAATTTCCTTCTGGTAGCTCCTCTTGAGGCTTGTTGTGTCCGCTGTACGCACAGTGACTCACACGTCCCCCACTCTCTGCACAGTGACGCACAGTGCACTCACAGCAGTGGGGCTCACCCCTGCCCTTGGGGGGGACCCCTATATCTGCAGGCGCATGCCTGTGACTGACCTGCCCACTCTTTCAGACTTTTCCGCACTCAGTGCTGGGTTCACAAATACCCTGTAATATGAGCCACAACTACATCACAAAGAACTTCAGACTGGCTTTCCTCAAACTGCTTATTTAGAACTTGCTTGATTAGTTCTGACTAAAAAGCTCTGAACATGCAATCAATCAATGACGACTTGTTGTTTTTTTTTCTTCTCCAAGAGGTATTTTATTTAACTTGTTTCTGTTGCTGTTTCTGTATTGATGTATTTTGGTGTTACCATAATGTCTTTGTATTAGAGCATTCATGCAAATAAGCGTTTCATTGCACTTGTGCACATGACAATCAACTGAACTGCTCTTACAGACCTGGGCGGCTGTATCGGACATTGCTAGAGTGTGTGCGTTTTCTCCTACTGTACCTTTCAGCTCACGCAACTGACCACGGGCAGATCTGATACCAAGTACAAACCTCGTCAACTTCTCAAGAGCCGAGAGAAAAGTTAAAAAAACCCGGCTTAAAGTTGCCCTTTTTATTTATTTTGCTTGTACTTAGGAACCTGACTGGACCAAAAACCCAGGAGAGACCGGGGTCACTCAGAGCCAGAGGGGAGAAGCGCTGACCTAGAGCATCTTCTCATCTCGTGATCAGCATCACCTCCTGCTCCTGGCCCTTCACGGCTTATTCCCAGGAGGAACGAAAGGGCCGTGCCGTGACCTTGTTACCACGCTACCGCGGACTCGGCTGTTCTAATGAGTAACTCTTGTCCATATTTACCTGAACCTCCGTTTTTTTTTTTCCCCTGCCAGAGCGCCAACCCTGACCCTCGAACTCGGGGGTTAAGCAAAGTTCGTTAAGCTCTGGGAACTGTTTACTGCCTCCGAGCAAACCAACAGGGGTCCAACTTTCACCCTCTCTGAGGCACCGATGGGAGAGAGAAATATCTCCACCAGGCATCCCCTGCGGCTCAGTGAAACACCAAGCTCTCCCGGACGACTACAGCCCCGGCTAGAAAGGGCCTGACCCTGTTTCAATGGTGGGGGGGGGGATCATCTCTAATAATCTACTGCGGATTGTTAAGAAGCACTGGGACTGCAGCTACAGAGCACACAATTGGTCTTCGGTCCGAATGCGTCGGTGCTGCTGTTTTCTGTGTCGTTCAGACCCTCCGAGCTCAGCTGCCAGGCCCCGCAGCTCTGCTCTGGATTTACTCAAGAGCGCAGCCTAGTGGTCAGAACGTGCCCTCACACTTGTGCAAAACCATACTACCGCAATTTAAAACACCATGTTTCTACGTTAATGATGAAAGAAAATGAATCACTGAGCTTTATTCTAAGACGGTCTTAAATTCTTCTGATTTTCCCCCCTATCAAGAACTTTTTCAGAAAATATACTAGCCTGTTCTCATCTGGCTGCAGAAGTTAAGCAAGGCTGGGCCTGACCAGCACTGGGGTTTGAGACCAATAAAGAAAACCAGGTCGCTACTGCAAGTGCTTTTCATGGACCAGCAGGGGGTGCTCTTCCCTCTTGACCACATTCTCCATTATGGAGATCAGGGACACCTTAGTTTAGGTGGTGGCATCTTTCAGATGAGATGTTAAACTGAGGTCCTGATTACTTGGTCATTAAAGATCCCGTGGACCTGGACAATCTGGCCTCCCTAATGTTCCTCCTTAATACAGCTGCTGCAGCAGTTTCTCACTCCTCCCCCTGATCTGCTGTGCAGGGGGGGGCAGCTGTGTGTCACGCAGGCTGCCCAGGGATGGAGCACGTTTGGATGCTCGAGGACGAAAAGTTTCCTATAAACTGCAAGCCATTATTATAGTAATAATAAATGAATGCCCAAGCCAATGACCTTCAACATCAAAATATTCTTTGTCACTACACGGCTGGTCGCGATCACTGTAAAAAAGAAGGATTTTTAATGCTTACATGCACTTGGCAAAAGAAACTACTTGTCAGGTGTTTTACCAGCAACACTCAGGTTTGTTTGGTCTGAGCTCTTTCCAGCATAACAGACTTGCGACTAGACGCCACCGTTGTTGAATCTTCAATCTATTGGAGGTTTTCATCTTTAAGGGTGCAGTATAAGTAAGCCGGGAGGGTGGATGTACAGTGGCACATGCAGAAACAGCGCCCCATCCCGAGGGGGGGGGGCCCTCACCTTCATCTGCAGGATGTCGCCCTCGTGCGCGGGCCAGCCGCGGAGGATCAGCCCGGTCCGGGCATCGATCAGCACGACGAAGCCCGAGGAGAAGCCGGCCGCGATGGTCCGGCCGTTAGGGCTGACCGTCAGGTACCGGATCAGCCCGGCGCTGATGTTGTTGTACGCCAGGCGGAATTCATGCTGGGGAAAAAAAAAAGAGAGAGAAAGAGACCCCAGGGCTGAGCATTTCCGGACAACGCCAGCGGCACGGCGCTCTTCCCTGGTGCTTCAGCCGAGCGGGGAAGCACAGCTCGGGAAAATGCAAAGGAATTTTTAACACTCGAAATAAATTCAGAGATTTTGAAAGGCCACACTGTGACGGATCATAGCTAAATTTTCTTAGTGGTAAAAAATATTGGCGGCAAAGAAAAGTACAGCAACCTACTGGCTCACTGCAACAAACACAGAGACGCAGAACAGGGCTGCTGTGAACAGAGGTGACCCCTCATGAACACAAGCAGCAGGCGAGCGAAGGAGGGCAGCCCGCGGCGGTTACCTGCAGCCCGGGTTTGCGCGGGTCGATGAACCTCAGGGCCGAGTCGGCGCTGCCGAACACCACGCTGCAGTGCGGCGCGGGCATCGTGGTCACCGCGGTGACGGGGTTCTTGCTGTCGGACACCTCGTAGGTGCGGATCTGCTTACCTGGGCGGAGAGGATCGAGAAACGGACAGCAGCGTGAGCTCCGCTGGCTTCGCTCAGATGACCCTCCCGCGCCCCGTTACGGGACCATCACGCACTCGGCCGTTATTGAGGTACCCCCCCCACCCAGAAAGGTGGAAGCTCCCAAGAGCACAAGGCAGTGAAAATGACTTTAAAGGCTGTTAAGGAGCAGGATCAGATTGGGTTTGACCTGCGACATGCAGCTGGGCCATGAGGTCAGCCCTGATGCCTGATGCCAGCCTCACACGAGCCTCACGACAGCCAGACGCCAGCCTCA